CAAGATGGCATCACTCCTCACAATGAAGAGGCCTTTCCGAAGCGCAGATTATACTTAGCAGATGTCGTGTTGTGCTGCTGGTTATCCGTCACATCCAGAAAAGCAGTTGATTACATAACTGGTGGCTACGGCAAGGAGTGTTTGGGCGTATGAAGAGCTCATATCTCATATGCTAGTCAAAATTTCCTTCCATACCCTAGGCTCACTATTGCATTTCTCCTAGTGACAGTTTGGCAAGGTCAAAGTAGCGCGAAGAGGGACAACTCTGAACTTAACCTAGGAGTTTCGTTATTTTGAAGGTGACTCGTAGATATGCCACCCGATATTCTCCTTTATCGACGGAAAGGACGAGGTTTCATTACGCAAGCTTGTGACTCGTCCACCGGTCTTTGACTAGGTACCCTGTGATGACAGAGTTGAAATCATAAACCATATACTTCGAAACCTCCCTTGAAATCGCCATATCCTGATAGGTTCGGCAGGATCCGCATTTTATCATCCACCTGGTGGCAAAGTGAGCTTGTCTTCATGTACCGTGGCGAAGATAACTTACCATCTTAATGCCTTGAAGGCTGTTACGCACCGTCCGGGAAGCTTCCAATCTAAAAACATTGTCTTGCCCGGTTTTCTCTGCACTATGAGAACATCGTCTCTCAGCCCTTGCCTTCTTACTTCGCAACTATCAAGTTGCGAGCTGCACAAGCCATCGCATCGCACCAGGGAGAGTCCCGTGGAGCGAATGCTTTTGACATGGTCTAAAAAACGAGCGGATACCGATGCCTCTGGTAGATAGATGTTGAATAATTGCTTTAAGGATGCTGATGCCGCTCTTAGCCCAGGCATTGTTATCTGACCCCAATGACTGATTCTTGCTTTGGAATATGGCCTTAGTCTCATAGTTAAGGCATGGTATGAAAACATTCTTGAGATACTTGAGTGACAATGCGACGCTTACTGCATTCTTGGCTAAGATTACGGAGTGTTCGTTGCTTTCGAGGCCGGTCAACAGGCAGTGGATCGATTTTGTGCGACAGGCTATGTATGACTCAGCTCGCAATAGCGATCTAAGAGACAGCAATAAAATTCGTTGAAGCTCCACCACTCCCCGGAACAAATAGCCGCCATCCTGTATGCCGTTATTGAAGGACCTTTTCTTCCAGTAGAGGCCTTCTCAAATTCTTGTTTTAATCTTACACAGGAGCCCCTCTTCCTCTCACTTCGCCTCGAGCATGCTTATCTCTTCTACTTGGTTGGGTTAGGCGAAGCAGGGACAAATTTATGTACCTCAGGTTGTTTGTAGGGGAGCAACTTGTCGGCGTTAGGCTATCAGGTACTGGTGGCTCAGGGATTGAGAGAAGAGAGCGGATACGTGATAGATGTTTCAAAGTCACACACCAGATCATATCAAGCGTGGCACATGAATTACCGATCAGATCCTAATGCAGACTCAGCATAGAACCTTTTGAGGTATGCTGCTCCAGACTCATACATTCGTATCAAAGTATCGAACTCGGAGTGACACCGCCAAACCACCCACTATCGCATACACAGCTTCTGAACACAGAGGATGGTTCAAATTCCAAGGTCCTTCTTCAAAGCGGGCAGAACTGTGCCGTCATTCCACTTCCAGATCAAACCACTGTTATGTCCAGCAAAGGCAGCCCCGGTCCAGTAAGTATTGAGATAACCCTCGAGCTTGAGAAGCTCAGTATAGAAGCCTTTTTCAATGTCTTCACCGGTTACATGAAGATCGTAAGGAACATGGTTGGAGATGTAAGGAAAAGTAACTCTCTTCGCCGTGTCGGCGGGTACAGCACCCGCTCGCGCCAGTGTCGTAAGCTCCTTACGAATAAGACTTTTACTATCAGCTACAGTGTAAT